ACTACTACTACTACTACTACTTCTACCTACTACCTCCTACCTCCTACCTACTACCTACTAGCTACTACCTACTACCTACTACCTGCCACCTACTACCAACTACCAACCTACCGCCCACTACCTACCACCTACTACCCACAACCTACTTTCTTAGCCACTGCCCACTACCCACTACGTACTACCTACTACCTACTGCCTACTACCTACTACCTCTACTACCTACTACCTCTACTACTTCTCACTACCCACTCCCTACTCCCCAATCCCTACTACTGCCTACTGCCTACTGCCCACTGCCCACTACCTACCTACTACCTACTAGCACTACTCCCTACTACCTACTACTTACTACTACTACTACTGCTGCTGCTGCTGCTACTGCTACTACTACTACTACTACTACTACTACTACTACTACTATAGTACTGGTACTACAACGACGACGACGACTACTGCCACTGCCAATGCCACTAGACCGCTACGACTGACAAGCGGCGCTACTACTACTCCTCCTCCTGCTGCTGCTGCTGCTGGTCCTGCTACTGCTATTGCTACGGCTGCTACTGCTACTACTGCTACTGATACTGCTACTGCTTCTGCTACTACTACGACGAGGACGACAATGACGACGACGACGACTACTACTACTACCGCTACCCCTACCACTACCACTACTACTACTACTACTGCTACTACGACTACGACTACGACCACGACCGCGACTACGACTACTATTGGTACTACTACTACAAATACGACTACGACGGCTACTACTATTACTACTACTACCTATTACCTACTACCTACTACCTACTACTTCTACTTACTACTACTGCTACTACTACTACTACTACTTCCACTACTACTTCTACTACTACTAACAACAACAACAACATGAACTACTTCTACTACCACCACCCCTACGACGACTACAACTACTACCACTACTACTACTACTACTACTACTGCTACCGCCACTACCACCACCATCGCTACTACTACTAGCAAAAAATACTACTATACGACTACTACTACCAATATCACTACCACTACCACTACCACTACGACTTCTACTACCACTACTACTACTACTACTACGACTACTACTACTACTACTACTAGTACTAGTACTAGTACTACCACTACTACTACCCCTACGACTACTACTAACTACTAACTACCAACTACTAGCTACTAACGTCTAACGACTAACTACAAACAACAACAACAACAACAACTACTACTACTACTACTACTACTAGTACTACTACTACTACAACGACGACGACAACAACTACTACTACTACTACGACGACTAACTACTACTTCTACTACTACGACGACTACTACTATGACTAACTACTACTACGACTAACTACTACTAGGACTAACTACAACCACAACAACAACAACAACAACTACTACTACTACTACTACTAGTACTAGTACTAACTACCAACTACCAACTACCAACTACTAACTACTAACTAACTACTAACTACTTACTACTTACTACTAACTACTTACTACTAACTACTAACTACTTACTACTTACTACTTACCACTTACTACTCACTACTTACTACTTACTACTTACTTTTTACTACTTACTACTTACTACTACTACTACTACTACTACTACTACGACTACTACTACTACTACTACTACGTCTACTACTACTACTACTACGTCTTCGTCTACGTCTACGTCTATGTGTACCTCTACCTATGCCTTCTACTTCGACTTTTACTTACTGACTTGACAGTCTCTCAGTTCGCAAAGCACGACAACGTTGGCTGTTTGTGCTCATGGGGGAGGCACGCTGCGCCTTCCTGCCCAACATTCCTCCCACACCATGAAATCTTCACATTTCTCCCGCAATCTCCTTTTTTGCTTTCAATCCAACAACCCGACCTATTATCACTACTACTACTACTGCTACTACTACTACTACTACTACTACTGCTTTTACGATTTCCGCCACAACAACAAGAACTGCTTCTTCTACTAACCACAATATTTCCCACAGGTTACAGGTTTCAGTCAGCATTGATTTTGTTTGACAGGGCCAAACAATTCAGACACTGAACATTTGGCGAACTGCAGGAGGGCACCACCACCGCCGCCGCCGACGACGACGACAAATACTACTACGACTGCAACTACAACTATGGCTCCGACGACGACTGCTAAACAACTAGTCCGAGTACGTTTTCTACTACTTCAATTGATTGTTAACAACTTCTTTACTGATGCGTGGGATGTTTTTGTGATTTTAGTTCTGTTGGTTCGCCCAGTTCACCCGATCAGATGAAGTCCGCACCGACGCTTTCTGGTTCAACGTAGGAATTTTTATTTTGTTCCTTCCCCAGTCATCAGTATTGATTGTGTTAATTACCATCCAGAAGGTGTCGTCAGTTGTAAATTTCTGCAGAATTGCAAAGCGCAACAAACCATATGCTGCAGATAATATGTGTGCAAGGCAAGGCTTCAACGCATGTTTTTGCCTCCCAGGTTTGCTTCCTTCCTGATGCAGCAGCCGTTCTTACAGAGGTTGCGTTGCTTGCCTGCAGAGGCTCAAACTGCTTGTAACTTCTTGATCAATCTCTGATAGAGCTGCATTTTCCTGGGTTCTTCCCTTTAAAGCGTTGGACAGTGCTTATGATGCATTTTGCGCGCATTAGGGATGTGGAATCAGATGGGGGCGACGTGTGAGCACTCTCCCTGCATTGGAGGCCAAAGCTTGGCTGATGGTCCGTACCTAAGTTGACTCCAAGCAAGTTGACTCCAAGCCATGTCGATTGGGTCCGGGAACAGGATGACCTTGGAGGAGCTTCACTTGACTTTCTTTCTCCCTAAAATAAGCAATTTGCTCTCCACATCTCTCCACAATGTGCGTGTTGGCGCGGGTTGCGGTTGAGATCTTTCTTCCGGGCCTTTCAGGAATTTCATCGATGTACTTGTTCCTGCGATTGGCTTCGGTACGCTACCATCGCTACTAGGTTGGAGGCCATTGCTAGTAGGTTCCTTACAGCCCATTTCATTGTGATTTTGGCATCGTTCCAAGGAGGATCCAGGCAAAAGTTGCAATCTGTACACAGATCGGGGCATTCTAAGGGAAGTACCCAGTAGCTTCAGCCATTTGGTGACAAAGCTGCAAGTCTGGAGCAGGTCCAAAAGAGAAGCCACCCGGAATACCCGAAGCCATTCAATGTGATCACCATCCTAGGCGGAATACAGGTCGTCTACTGCACGTCGAATTTTATGCCAATATCGCGCTCAGAATGTGCTCCCGTACCGAGGATGTTCATTTGAGGGTAGTCCCATGGTGCAACTGTGTGCTTCGCTGCGCGCTGGAAGCTTGTCCAGCCCACGCAGAGGATGGGTGTTGATGTTCTTCGACAAGCCGACGCCACTCCCACTTCTTTGAGCGTGTTCAGAGCATTTCAGAGCAAGCACCGCAGGCTTACGCGCGCAGCCTGTCTTGTGGTGGTAAGCGCTTATTGAACGCTTAAAATTTTGGATCAATTAGCAAGGCGAAGGGGTCAAAAGGCGTGTGTTTCATGGGGTGAGCAACATGACTGCGTGCTGTAAGCCTTGTTTCAACACTTGATTCCGCAAAAGGCCGGGTGCTGCTTGCCTGCCAGCAGGCAGATCGTGGGCCCTGCTTACCGACCATTTCTGCCTCCAATATTAGTGGAATGGTCACATATGGTCACTGTGACATTGTTGCTGGCCTTGCTGGGAATCGTGCTGCGGAGTGATGGTGTCCCGATGGTCCTGTGTTCTGATCGTATGAGGTGGTCTCACGGGAGCCTGGCATTGTTTTGAGCCCCTGAAGTCCACTGGGGATGGTTGTTACCAGGCACTCTGATTTTGTGTTGGGCGCCGCTGTGTGTCCATGTCTGCAATTGATCTTGCAGTAGCATGAAGGGAGGAGTTTGCGTGATCGGATCACATGTTGCTCGCTGCTTCCAAGCAGCCAAAGCTCGTGACTTAGGAACGCGCAGTTCGGTCAGCAGGATTGGGCGATACATGGCTTGCCGAATGGGTCGAGAGCATAGTTTACCTGGAACCAAGCTGCGCCATTTCTCGAGTCTGCAGTATTTCTTTGATGCCGATGATGTTCACCTTGTCTTTCAGGCTCAATTGGCGGAGAAACTCCTGGAGACAGACATAAGCAATGAGAGTTGCCTGTCTCAATGAATTATGTGAGTATGCTATACCATACTGTGCATTTTGTTGAACACTCAAAAGTATCAATTATTATCAATTTCAGTATCAAAGTGCGTTGTTGTATTGTGTTTTTGAAAACTATGCAGCAGCGTGCTGCAGCGCCTGAAATCCATGTCAAGGCCAGTGGAATGTCCAAGAGTTTGGGCTGGCAGCAGCCTCCCTATTGGCAAGGTCTGTGCCTGTACTGGAAGAGGAGTGACGGATCGACAATATCGAGCACACTGAGGGAAACAACGTAAGAATACGCTTTGATTAATTTTGATTGTACATAGTAAATACTACAAATCACAATGAATTAGATATTATCTATATTTTTTACAATATGATTTCTTATATATATATATATATTATTTGTTTTTCATTGTACATTATGTAATGATATAACAACAAGAATAATAGCACTAATAGTAATAATAATATATATATATATACATATAACAATCACCCTGGAGTAGATAGAATCCGGAATTGAAAGGGGGTATCTAATTGTTTTTTTGACATTATAGGACCGGATGACCCCACATGTTAACAACTTCACTGGACACAGGAGCAGACAATTGTGGTGGCAATTGGTTGGTGGCAGTTTGTTGGTGGCAGTTGGTTGGTGGCAATTGGTTGGTGGCAGTCTGTTGGTGGCAATTGGTTGGCGGCAGTTTGTTGGTGACAATTGGTGGGTGGCAATTTGTTGACGACAAGTGGTTTATACCAGCTGGTTGGTGACAATTGGTTGGTAGCAATTGGTTGGTGACAATTGGTTGGTGACAACTTTATAGTTGGTAGCAATTGGTTGGCAGCAACTGGTGGGTGGCAATTGGTTGGTGACAGTTGGTCACAGTTGGTGGGTGGCAATTGGTTGATGACAGCTGGTTGATGACAATTGGTTGGTGGCAACTCGTGAGGTTGATGACAAATGGTTGATGACAACTGGTTGATGACAACTGGTTGGTCACAATTGGTGGGTTGCAATTGGTTGGTGGCAGCTGGTTGGTGGCAATTGGTGGGTGGCAGCCCTGGAGTGGACCAAGTGCTGCGCCTGCCACGCAAAGCACAGCGCCTTCCATGCAGGAGACCCAACCGCGCCAGGGCGTACATCCGACCCCCTGGAGCACCAAGTGTGGGGTTATCCAGCCCTTCAAAAAATGAAAAGCTGCAAGCGATATTCACGGAAATTGCCTTTTGAAGCGCGTTGATGTGGGTGGGATGGGAAGCTGGCGCCCTTGGCTTTTGGAGCAGCCTCTCGTGGTTGTCGGGTAGCCTGGCCACGTTTCGCTGGTTGTACAAATTTGCCTGTGGGCTTTGCCGGTTCGCAGTTCGAGGCTGAAAACTTGTATATCTTTTTGAAAGCGAAAAAATGCGACCCGCGAAAACTGCAGAAAACGAAAGAATACAGCAGCAAAAAATACAAAAATACGACCCGCGAAAAAAGTAGCAACGTACAAAATACGAAAAAGCAAACATACCAGCGTACAAAAACATACAAAAATACAAAAGACAAACACAGCAAAAAGTACAGAAAATACAGCCCGCAAAAAAATAACAATTCAAAATTTTACGACCCGCAAAAAATACAAAGAATACAAGAATACGACCCGCAAAAAACAAATACAAAATTGGCCGAAGCGGGCCGCGAAACCGCATTTTGGAAACACTATCAGTGAATCCCGCCCCGGCTTTCAGGTAGAGCCTAAGAAATCCAAAAGCATTAGAAATACAACAAAAAGTTTCGAAATAATACAACCCTGAAATACAACTTCTTTGCATGGTTCTATGTCCCAACTGGCCCCGGTTCCCAAACAACGTACTCAAATGAGGCCACACTAGCGCCCGCCAAGGCAATTGAATCTTGAGTCTCGTGGTACTTTTATGCGTTTTCACGAAGCATTTTCGCAAATTTGCTGTCTTCTTGCATTGTGGCAAAACAAAAGCAAAGGCAATCGGGCCGCAAAATCAGCCATTGCCCCTCTTGACGCATCAGCAAAACGAAAAATTGCAGAGTCATTGCAGGGAAATTTAGTGGGTCAAAGGCGTTGTGTCCTAGTTGTTGGCAGTGCTTGCCCAACCGGTTTTGCTCGACACTCATGACTTCACGTTAGACTGCCACACTTGTGGACATCAGAGCAGGGTTTGATCGTCGCCGTTTCCTACATCGCAGTTTGAGAGGCCAAAGGAGTTGGGCGACCGATGAGCTTCGTGTTTGACTCTTCACCTAGGGTGGTACCATAACCAAAACCACCCAGATGGCGTGTTCTCAGCGCTTGTGGAGGTTGTTCACGTGGAGATGGTTTTGGTTTTTGAACCAGGACTTGTGCCGGGTACATCGTTTTTTTTTGCGCGCGCCCATTTGGCCGACAAGACAAACCGCTGAATTTGAGCCAGCTTGCTCCCACCCTGAGACAATCCGTAATTGAGAGTTTCGCTTTCTTGCCCCACTCATGGCTGAGGCCGTGAGCTCACCTCTCCTACATCGCAGCCCTGAACCCACAGCGTCTGGGCAATTGCTTCAGGGCGGTCCAAGTTGCAGTGGCATACTGGCCCTTCACTCCCGGCGCAAAGTGCAAAAAAGTTTTGCTCAGCGCCAACGAGTGGAAGAGTGGGTGTGTTTCACCCTTGGGGATTTGAGAAGACGAGTGTTCACAGATGGCCCTCGTTAGCTTCCCACCATCTCCCAACGTGATAGCTGTTGAGGGTGTCATGGTCGGCGTAGGCGGCCCATCTATTCACAAAGAAGATGTCTCAAAACGACGGCAGATACATATAGATATGTTTTATATAAATATATTTTTCCCGAATGCGTAGCGAAGGGTTCTCGTTTAACTCTTGGGGGTCTGGGGGTGGAGTCTTGTTCGCGACCCGTTGTTTCTATCGGTGTACTTATCTTACTTAAACTACTTATAAGTATTTGTAAGTATACTTACCGGCTACTTATCTTGGCCGTACTTATTGAACTTATAAGTAGACTTATAAGTAGAACCTAAGTAGAACCTAAGTAGTTTTCGTTTTGTCAAACGTCAAACAAAAAAGCACACATCAACTTGTTGAAAAATCATGAGCGGGAACACCGCTGTCCTTTGAAAAAAATCATCAGTTTGTTGACAAAAACATGGGCGGGAACACCGCTGTCATGAAAAAAACGTCAATTTGTTGAAAACACATGAGCATGAACACCACTGTAAAGCGACACTTAGCAGTTTTTCTACCATCAATGCTCCCGCTTTTGTAGCGGTGTGAGGCCATAGGGCATCAATGTAAACATACCCATTCAGACTGCGGAGTATTTTGGCGCCACCACCACGGCACCAAAAAATGTGAAGCTTGCTTTTGCAGCAGCTGCTCGCTTTGCCGCCAAACGCTTCCATATGAATGCTGGGATACCTGTTGTGCATGTGTGCGTGAGAAGGAACATGGAAGGTAGAAGAATCCAATGTTAGCGATGCTATATATATATATATCTATGTCAGGTAGCGGAACCCAAATTTGTATATATATATATATTCTACATACATGTTTCCAGAGATACGAAACTTTGGGAGAAATGTAAAGTGGACAAACTGCTGGAATGAGCCTCCTCAATACAAAGTGAACAATGCCTTCTTGACAGAAGCAAACCAAAATTATGCCACCAGAACGCATGCTCGGCCACAACACAATGTCATCTATTGAGACGGTCAGTGTTCCAATTCGAGCGCCTGATCTCATGGTTCCAAAGATCAACTTCAATGAACACGAAAATTCAATAAAGAAAAATTATGCACATTGTGCACTATCTTATCAGCAAACAAAAGAGTGCTTGAAATCAATTCTGGTCACTGGCTGACATTGGTGTGTTCCTGTTCTGCAAAAATTGCATTGCATCTCCCTGGGTGTTTTCAAGGGCGGGAACAGAGTCATCTCAAAACACAAAGGGTGCTCCTTGATCTCTCGAATCTGCATTGACAAAATGCGAGGGAGAGTGGCCCAGGCTACTCCTCCACCTGCACCTCCAGATTTCCATTTGACTCTGGCTGCAATACTCCCCTTGTAGACCTGGTGTTTTTTCTCTTGGGGCTCACAAGAGATGCACTTTCCTGCCCGCAATGCCGAGTCTGCAATATGGAACCTAAAATGATGTTTCGGCTTGGAACCATTTTCGTAAGCTTGATGAAACAAATCCTGATGGTTTTGCGCAGCAGCTCGCATTTGTGCCACATCTGTGACTTTCCCAGAATGCTGTTTCAGGCTGGTCAACTCTCTGTGACAACGAACTAGGCTGAGAAAAGATTGCGTCTCCTCTGGCAAGAAGTCATGCTGCTTCAGCAGGATCTCGACATAGTACGCCATCAGGGAGACCAAGTTCTTGGTTTGGCACGCGCTGCCTTTGAATACGTAATCCCCAAACAGTTTTTCTGAGAAAAGCAGGCGCAAGTGAGACTTGCTTGGTTTGCTGCCCATGCCATGACATTTCCAATCTGCCTGGAGACAGGATGCCAACAAGTTGCCCTTGTTGAATGGAGTTTGTTTCTCCATCCTCTCAAAAAGCAAAGCCAGCTCGACATTCGCAATGCCATTTGAATAATATACATGCATTGGGTCGTAGATGATACGACTCGGAGGAAGAATAGACCGCAAATTGGCATCAAACCAAATGCTTTCTGGTTCCATATTCAAGCCCATCCTTTTTTCCAGGTCCTTCAACTGCATTTTGCTCAAATCATTTGCTTGCCTAGCCAAAGAGTCAATGGCCTGGAAAACATCCTGGTCGCTGTTCTTCTGAAAATGGTTCTCCTTTCCTGAACTGATTTCAAGGAAATAATGTTCGTCATCGAATTCAATCAAGTTTGAGCCTTTCTTGATGATGTTGTTGCAGTGCGGGCATGGACGTAAACCAGCGCTGCCCTTCAACGCAAAGGAGCTCCTGATGCTATCCAAATCGCCATGAAAGAAGAATTCACCCAACTTGCACCAATGCAGGTCTTTGTCAAACCTGAGTGAGAACCCCCAGCGGTTCTGCTTATGAAGGTGTTCAACAAGCTTCTTCAATGTTCCTGCCATACCACCACTGACCACGTCAACATGGTCATGCAGGATGAATGCCAATGGCAGCCAAGCCAATTCGGAGGACAAGACCTGGTCCATGTCAAGGAAACTGATGTAGAACAATGTCGCCTTCATCTTGTTGGTTGGAAGCAACACATTCAACGGCGTGCATTCATCAGC